CATGATATGAAACATAATTCTGAGCAACTCAAGAAACAAAAAAACATGCTGAAGTGTCTATAAAATAACTAAATTTCTGTTAGATATCCTAAATGGATAGGTTTTTTTGAATAGTGTCTTTTTTCCTGGGATCTTCCTATATATACCTCTCATGCAGTTCAAGTAGCAGTTAGTTTTCAGCAAGGTACAAATGGTGCTGTCTAAAAAAAGCAACAACCTCTTCATGGAAACAAAGGCAAAATGACATCTTGTTAAGATTAAGAAAAGATATGACAAAAATGTGCTGATGTTCTGTGATGGGATGAAACTTCATCTGCCTGTCAAAAGATGTAACCCAAGAAAAAACCCTTCTAATTGGTGACACCGAAAACAAATTAATAGGGTGCATGGAGATAAAGAAACTTGAGATGAATACATGGAAAACTACAGTACAGCCGAAAATAATCATATTGAAGTCTCGGTTGAAAGCAGTAAACATGTATTGTATTATTAAGTATTTTATTGATGATTTTAACCGAGTGTATATATATGTTGTAGTTAATTTTTTATTTCAGGTAATTTTTATTTTTTCCTTTGTTTCACTCCATTAGCATAAATATATTACCATACCCAAAAACAAAAGAAGAACAAAAATTACCTGAAATAAAAAATTAACTTCAACAATGATGCATGAAAAAACCAAATATAGTGTAACAGCCTTGAATGAAAATTGGGCTTTTACAAAGATTTAAAGTTGCCAGGTAAATTATACATCAAGTAGGCAGAGAACCAAACTGCTAGGAATTTTTTGGGGGGTTCTGCTTTTGTTCTTTTTAAGAAAATAGTTGGAGGACACCTTTCTTGTAGCAGGGGAAATCGCCGGCACCCATCCCCCAATGACAGCCCTGTTTCAGGGGCAGGACTTGATATAATGAGCTTACCTGTTGTGCCATGTGTTTTTAATGCCTCTTTTGGTACATCATGCACTGTATGTAAACACTAAGTACTGTGGATGCATCGGTAACAAAGTGCTTACATAATTATTATCAGTAGTGTACTATGTTGTTTTTACCCCTGTGTGGTGTCTTCCCCTCTCTTCTGCTTTTTAATATGCATAAGTGTCTTCCTGTATACCAATAACTGTCTTCCTCCATACTAATAAGTGTCTTCCTCCATATGTAATGAGCATCTCCCTTATACAATAGGAACAATAGGCTTGCCTAGACTTACCCGTCTATATGTACCCACCTGATTGGTTACTATAGAATCTGTTTTGTTTTCGAAATAAAGGCGCGCTTTCCATTCAGCATTTTATTCTTGCAAGTTCAGTTTTCTAGGAAAAAAGTCTTACTGTCACCGATATTTCTTAAAACATCGCTCCAAACATGCAAGTCAAGTCGAGCGCTACACCTCTTAGTCCGTGGGCCAGAAAGTGAAACCCTCCCCCCCTCGGGGATTTTTGCAGACATGTATCATTTCAAAGCTTCACCTGAGGGTATTTGAAAAATGCATGTTTGCACTTGATTGGTTGGTGGGTATGGCTGTGCAGCAACACTCTTTTCCTCAGCAAAGAGTCACAGGTTACCCACACCAAGAAATGAGTTAAGCTCTTCTGAAACACCATTACTGACAAAAATAACACTTAGAGTTATATAAGGTAACGTTTTTTTAATGTCATATGTAAGTTAAAATTCTGTACTTTACTTTTAAGTTCCAAAAACTACTACTGCGCGTGTCATGAGTTTAAGTTAGCCTTTACTTGGATACGTAACTATAACACCTCTTACGACAAACTCTTTAAAAAATTCTTGGAAATGTCTAACCTACGTGAAATTTTGGTAGTTACTGGCCAATGTATTAGCTACTAAATGATGAGTAATCCCCAGTTTGCTGCTTATGCGATATGTGCAAGCCGAGGAGACATCAACAGTGCTTTGTAAGGTCCTCTAAAGTAAAGTACGATAATTTTTCCACAGCACTGCATTTAATTATTTTGTTCAAGCTTTTTATGGTACATTAGTTGTAACCAAAAAACTTGTTAATCATTTCACGCATTTTATTTCAAGACGCATATCAAACTTCTCTATTTGATATCCCATGAGGCACAGTCCACCTTTTTTCCCATCCCACGGTCCTTTGAGACTCAGAATCAGATACGCCATTTTGGAAAAACTGAAAGGTATGTTAGTAAGATATCACTCTTCTTTGCTCTGTAAAAACTTTTTTTGAATGAATAAGTACTTAGTGCTTCTTGGCATTAGCCGGCAGCAGACCATATTCTTGATCCATTTGAGATTTTTGGTTCGATGGTTCCATGGTTCGATCGTCATCTGTGACTGCAGCGCTGTGCAGTCAGCGGTTTGCTTAGCTGCCGCGCCTGTTTTTCTTTTAGGAGCAACCCGCCATTTTGTTTTGCTCTCATGTAAGATCTGTGCAGACATCATAGTTTATCGGATGCTTGCTGTCTTTTTAAACGGCCTAAACGGTAAGAACAGTTCAAGATGTATTGTACGGAACATTTTTTCAGTTAATTTTTTTTATTCAGGTTTCAAGATTAGTTATAGCGAGTATTTTTTGTCACACAGATTTTTATCTCGGTAATCAGGATTGTAAGTTACATAAGTGAACGGCATGTGCTGTACATCTACCTGACCTGTGAATAAACAAGTTTTGGCCTTTACGTCATTTGTTCGCAACTCATCTCATCGATCCTGTGTACGATGATTGTTCGATGAAGAAACAGCCTATCAGCACTGCTGTTGTTTTAGAATTTCATGAATTATTAAAATGAATTACAAAATGGTATTGAAACCTTAGCAAGTTATATGAATGTAAGCATATTTGTGATCGTGATCGGTTCATTTTTTATATTACGCTCTTAGTGTTTCATAATGCCAGCAAGTCTAAGTTATTGACTTTAATAAAAAACAATTCATATGTTCAACTGTTCTACAAACTGTCTTTGTCCTATTCGCAGTTCGCAACTAACGGCATCACTTCCCTTCTCAATGAGAACTTCTAGTCTTACATTAACAAACAAATTAGACATCACTGTCAAAACAGCTATCTTTATTTAAGTCCGGAAAATGAAAGTGTTTGATCATTTTTGTCATCGTTAATATTAACTTAAAGTACGAAAACTAACTTTTTTGGAAGTCTTTAAAGAATTGCAGTGTTTATTCAACATTTTACAATTTAGTCATGTTATCAGCTATTTGATTCAATATCTTTTCTGTTTGGAGAGCGTTCATAGAATGAATTATTACTTGTCTTTTATCAAAGTAACAAAAGAGATGTCAAGGCAAAGACGGTTGCATTTATTTCAGTCTGGAAATGGAGCTTTTTTATCATTTTTATCATCATTATTTCTTTAAAAAAGTCCTTTAATCAACTTTGTTCGAAATCTTTAAACCGATGCCGTGTGTGTTACATGTGTTTACAGGTATGCCTACTCACATTATCAGCTATTTGATGCAATATTTATATATTTAGTTACAGATGCAAAGAGTTAGGCGTTTACTTTTTGTGTGGCGCTCTCTAAGGCTCGTTTAAATTCAATTAATTGTAAGTTCGTTGATATTTGGCGATTTCAGGCATTTTACTGCTTCAGAAAGTTCTAATAGAAAAAGAAGACAAAGTTCAGGGTGAAAAGGCTTTGAAGATCAAAAGTCTAAAATCAACAAACCGAAAAAGAAAAAAGAAAGTTCATGGATGCTTCATTCATTTTGCCAACTTCAAGGACAGAAGTATTACTGTTATGACAGAAAGTAGCTTTCAAAAATCAAAGCAGCTCCTGAAGTGAGGCAATCACAAGATAGTGAAAACAGACTAGACAACATTTGCTCAAATATACCAAGTGCATTTGTGCCAGCCCAATATGGGTACCATAGGTCTTGGTATCAACGTTTTACGAATGTGTCCAGAATTATGAAGCGCAAAAAGGAAGCACCCAACACCAGTTCAGAGTTCGGAGAAAGTTCGGTGAAAAGACGCAGAGTGTCACAACATTTGGCTTCGACACCATCAAGGCTATTACCAGTTGACAAGTGTCTCTTTTGCAACAAAGGCATAATAAGAAAGTCAGGAAAGGAGGATCACCTAGTCAAATGTGTTACTAAAACAGCCGAAGAATCAATAAAGAGGGCCACAGAGACAAAGCAAGATGAATTCATTTTACTCAAGATTAAGGATATTGACCTAGTTGCAAAAGAAGCTCACTATCATGCTTTGTGCCGGAAAAACTACACTCGTTCAGAAGAAAGGCATGATGTTCCTAAAAAGGAAGAACTAGGGGGCCAGGCAGATGTAGAAGCTGCTCACAAGGCTGCATTTGAGAATTTAAGTGAACATGTAAACACATCAATTATCTCGGGGGGGGGGGGGGAACGTGGAGAGAATGTCGATGCTTCGAGAACGGTATCTTACCTCCATTTTGCATAATAACCCTGACTCCTATAATCCTGATTACAAACTGATAAAAATAAATCAAAATTAGTGAAGCGATTTGGAAGCTCAATTCAGTTCTGGCAACCAAATTGCAGAACTGAGCTGGTGTATGCATCAGATATTACCAAAGGCGAAGCGATTGAAGTTACGTTTGAAGCAGAAGCCTCTGAAACCAAGAGACTTCAAGAGGCGGCATCTATTTTACGAAGGGCCATTCAGGTTGCGTACACTGAGGCTGAGGAAATGCCATGGCCTCCATCAGCAGACTTCCTCAGAAGTGATAATGTACAGCGACCTTCATGCCTTGAGGAATTTCTAGAGTGCTTGCTTTCTGTGAAGAGTGATAGTTCTGAAAATAGGCAAAGATTGGTGACTTTTTTTGCCCAAGACATCTGCAAAGCTGTTACAAATGGGAAGTGGACGCTGCCGAAGCATCTACTTCTTGGAATGACATTGCGACACTTGACTGGTAGTGCTGAAGTCATAACACTGGTTAATCGATTTGGTCATTGTGCTTCCTACTCACGAGTTATAGAGCTAGAAACAGCTATGTGCAAAGCTATAGATGAGCGACCATGTGTTATCCCATCGACAATCAGCCCAAACAGAAACTTAGTTACCCACCTGTGCTGGGACAACTTCGACTTGACGGAAGCAACACCATCAGGTGCAGGTACAACACATACTGCTCATGCATCCAGGAAGTTTCAACTACCAAAGAAAACATTTCAGAATCCCCAGAAGAATTTGATAAGGCTAGAACAAAGAGCCGATCTGCGAAATGCACTTCACAAAACATTGAGCCCTGCTATGCAAAAAACAAGGTCGAGCCAAATATAACAGTCTCTAAGACAGAAGCAGCTTGCACTCTGGATGAAACCAGGGCTCAATCATCTGACACTCTGTGGTTTTTGTGTCGTTCAGGGGTCCTGCGTCACACTGCTCAGGTTGTCCCTCCATGGGCAGGGTGGGTGTCATTGACAGAAACAAGCAAGAATTCATCTGTACAGCAATCTGCTATTGACTATATGGCGCCAGTCTTTGCACCCGTCACCGAAAATGCGACCGTACAGCATATCTTAAAGCTATCACAACAAGCATCATGGGAAGTACATCAGCAATACACGGCGGTAACGTTCGATCTTGCTTTTGCCAACAAAGCCTATTCTCTTGTGTGGCAGAGTCCAGAAGAATTCAGTGATGTATTTGTACGTATGGGTAGTTTTCATCTTACTTGTGCATTCATGGGTGCCCTCGGAAAGAAAATAAGATGTAGTGGTTTGGAAGAAGTCCTCATCGAATCGGGGATCTGTGCAAGTGGATCGATAGAGCAAGTTTTGACAGGTAAACATTATAACCGCCCTCTTTGTGTGCACAAGGTTGTCTACGAAGCTTTGGAACGAATTCTTCTTCAGGTCTATGAGTCGTTGCATGGTTGTCTTTTTGATGAGCAAGGGGTTACAACATTACACCATCTAGTGAAGAACCCGTGGAAAGATAACCTCTTAGCATGTTTAGCCAGTGAAAGCTGTAAAAGGTCCCTAGACCGTTATGATGAATTCAAAGAAACTGTTCGGCAGGGCGCGCTTGGCAAGACAGCTCAGTTTTGGTTGAGCTACATGGAAAAGGTAGGCCTGATTTTACAGTTCTAGCGAGCGACTAAAGAGAATTGCCTGACGCTTCACCTAGCAAGCCTTCAAAGAATGTGCAGCCTGTTTTTCGGCTTTGATCACCCAAACTATGCAAGATACTCTGCATTCTACTTGTTGAATATGTTGAACCTGGAAAAAACGCATCCAGGAGCAGAGGATCTGTTGAAGAATAATGGCTTTAGTGTTAACAGATCAGATGTTCCATCATCTAGAAATGCTGTTGACATAACCATTGAGCAAACAATTAACCGTCATGCGAAATCTCACAGCAGAATTGTTGGTTCCAGCTGGGACCATTCTGCCTACTACAGATGGTGCTACACTAGACATGCAAGAGCAAGCTATCTGCAAGCAACCAAAGAGATAGCGAATATCGACACTCTGGAGTCTACCTCGCACAAGGAGGTAAGATCTTCGCAGATACTGAAGAGTGAGCAAGACACGTGTTGCGTCATGGAAGCGATAAATAATTTTATCAATCCTTTCACAATTGAAGATAAGGAATCTACCTGACCTGTGAATAAACAAGTTTTGGCCTTTACGTCATTTGTTCGCAACTCATCTCATCGATCCTGTGTACGATGATTGTTCGATGAAGAAACAGCCTATCAGCACTGCTGTTGTTTTAGAATTTCATGAATTATTAAAATGAATTACAAAATGGTATTGAAACCTTAGCAAGTTATATGAATGTAAGCATATTTGTGATCGTGATCGGTTCATTTTTTATATTACGCTCTTAGTGTTTCATAATGCCAGCAAGTCTAAGTTATTGACTTTAATAAAAAACAATTCATATGTTCAACTGTTCTACAAACTGTCTTTGTCCTATTCGCAGTTCGCAACTAACGGCATCACTTCCCTTCTCAATGAGAACTTCTAGTCTTACATTAACAAACAAATTAGACATCACTGTCAAAACAGCTATCTTTATTTAAGTCCGGAAAATGAAAGTGTTTGATCATTTTTGTCATCGTTAATATTAACTTAAAGTACGAAAACTAACTTTTTTGGAAGTCTTTAAAGAATTGCAGTGTTTATTCAACATTTTACAATTTAGTCATGTTATCAGCTATTTGATTCAATATCTTTTCTGTTTGGAGAGCGTTCATAGAATGAATTATTACTTGTCTTTTATCAAAGTAACAAAAGAGATGTCAAGGCAAAGACGGTTGCATTTATTTCAGTCTGGAAATGGAGCTTTTTTATCATTTTTATCATCATTATTTCTTTAAAAAAGTCCTTTAATCAACTTTGTTCGAAATCTTTAAACCGATGCCGTGTGTGTTACATGTGTTTACAGGTATGCCTACTCACATTATCAGCTATTTGATGCAATATTTATATATTTAGTTACAGATGCAAAGAGTTAGGCGTTTACTTTTTGTGTGGCGCTCTCTAAGGCTCGTTTAAATTCAATTAATTGTAAGTTCGTTGATATTTGGCGATTTCAGGCATTTTACTGCTTCAGAAAGTTCTAATAGAAAAAGAAGACAAAGTTCAGGGTGAAAAGGCTTTGAAGATCAAAAGTCTAAAATCAACAAACCGAAAAAGAAAAAAGAAAGTTCATGGATGCTTCATTCATTTTGCCAACTTCAAGGACAGAAGTATTACTGTTATGACAGAAAGTAGCTTTCAAAAATCAAAGCAGCTCCTGAAGTGAGGCAATCACAAGATAGTGAAAACAGACTAGACAACATTTGCTCAAATATACCAAGTGCATTTGTGCCAGCCCAATATGGGTACCATAGGTCTTGGTATCAACGTTTTACGAATGTGTCCAGAATTATGAAGCGCAAAAAGGAAGCACCCAACACCAGTTCAGAGTTCGGAGAAAGTTCGGTGAAAAGACGCAGAGTGTCACAACATTTGGCTTCGACACCATCAAGGCTATTACCAGTTGACAAGTGTCTCTTTTGCAACAAAGGCATAATAAGAAAGTCAGGAAAGGAGGATCACCTAGTCAAATGTGTTACTAAAACAGCCGAAGAATCAATAAAGAGGGCCACAGAGACAAAGCAAGATGAATTCATTTTACTCAAGATTAAGGATATTGACCTAGTTGCAAAAGAAGCTCACTATCATGCTTTGTGCCGGAAAAACTACACTCGTTCAGAAGAAAGGCATGATGTTCCTAAAAAGGAAGAACTAGGGGGCCAGGCAGATGTAGAAGCTGCTCACAAGGCTGCATTTGAGAATTTAAGTGAACATGTAAACACATCAATTATCTCGGGGGGGGGGGGGAAAGGGGGAGAGAATGTCGATGC